TTGAGGGGTGAAAATGTGGTGCCACAGAGGGACACAGAGCTCTGCCATGCCTGCTGCCTTGCATGGGACAGCCCCCCCAGGCGGGCTGGGATGGTGACATAAAGGCTCCCAGCAGCATGCAGGATGAGCGGTGACCCCTGTCTCTGACCGGGGATGCAGGCTGGTGGCTGATTTATGGCCGAGGTGAGATAGGGGTCTCTCTGAGTTAAGCTGTAGGCGAGTTGCCATGGAGATGGGCTAATAAAACACCAGGCAGCAGCCGGCTCTGATGCTGCTATGGTTGCAAGGAGCAGGCAGGTGGGGAGAAGGGGCAGCTGGCCCAGTGGGGATGGAGAGTGAGAATGGGGCAGCGCCAGAAAGGCAGAGCAGGAGTTGGTTCTGTAGTGCTGTTGAGATGGTCCTGGGTGCTTTGAGAGAGGAAGGGGTGGTGGGAGAAGAGAGCTTCTTTCTCCCAGCTCTTTGAGAGGAGGTTGTTAGCATGGTGGTTCTTGGCAGTGAGTGGGACCAGCAACTTTCAGGGAAGGGGTTAGACCCCTATGCAGCCAGAGTATCTTTTGTTCTGGCCTCCTGCCTGCATCAACCAACCACCTGTCTGCTTAGTGACTTCAAGCTGGCTGCTTTCCCCACAGCATGAGAGGGCCTCAGTGCGGATGTCAGCTTGCAGAGGCCACTTCACACAGGACTGGTGCAAAGGACTCTGCTGTGCTCAGGGTTAGCTAATGTGTGGGGAAAACAGGACCTGCTCCATGCTGAAGAGGATGCCTGTGCACAAGGGGTCAGGACCTTTCTAACTGCAGTGCCCTCCCTGTGCTGATGAATCTTCAGCTTCGGAGCATGTCTGCAACACCCAGTGTCCCTGGGGAGCTGTGTGTTACCGGGACATGTCTCCCTCAGCACACCACCCTCCTGACTTTCAGCACTGAGGAAGGTCACCTGCTGCCTGGCTCGGTCCTTCATCCCAGCCATTGCAACATAGCTGCAGCCAGCTCCCTTGGATGCTGAGTGTGGGTGTTGGGTGGGATGAATGGCCATGTCATGGACTTGCCTCCAAAGATGTGAGTGTATTGGAGCTGTGCTGCACATCCCTAACCTCTTGCGCCAGCCTGTACCTTCATAATGGACTCTTCTGCTTTGCTATAGTAGGGGTTAAGTCTGCAGTCTCATTCACTTCAATGACACTGTAGCTTGGATCTAAAACTAGGCATACTTTTATTCTGGATAGGTGAGTAGGGTGACTGGAGGGAAAGGCTTAGCTAATTATTAGCAAGATACCCCCAGGCTGCTGTACTTCCATTTTGAGAGATTACTCTTTACTAGTATGGCAACACCAATATTTTAACCCTGATCACCTTAAGAAGGGTTTTGCCTCAAAGCCATCAGCTCCCGGAGTGTACCAGAGTCCAGGTAAGTGTTCCAGCAGGTAAAGGGGAGGGGGGGGGAAGGGAAGTTATATATTTTAAGAAGGAAATAAAAAGCCTTATGATGGAGTGATGCATTAAAAGATAATTACTTACAGATTTCACAAGATGTTTTTATGCCTTCTAAATTGATGGATGTATCCACAGAGACTGATGCTCTTAGTGGAGGGTTGCCTTTCCTTCTGAACAAAGCAGAGATCAAGACAATTCCAACTAGCTAATGCCAGCTATTGATAGCACTACACCTACCGCCCAAAGAAAAGGGTGTCTAAAGCTGGACTTCTTGAGCTAGCTACCACCTTCTTCCCTGGCCAAAGCCTCTCCCCCCTTCCCCTGACAGCATCCCCTGTTGTTCAAAACCATCCTGTGTTACTGCTGAATAGCCCTTGTGTCTTTAACTCGGTCATCATGCACTGTCCAGATGGTAGGAGTACTCTCCTCCCTTTTGGGTCAGTTGGCTTTCAGCACTGGCTGGGATGAAGGAGGACTTCCACTGTCTCCATCATTAACAGGACCTCCCCTGATGTCCCTGCAGGGCTAGCTGGCGGGGTGAGCCAGCCAGCCCTCACTGTTGCAGCCAAACCATAAGGGGCACAGATCATGAAAAGCTTTAGAGTCTGTTTGGTGCAGCCTCTATAATCCAGGAGGGATTTGACTGGTGGAGATTTTGATTGTTGCTGTGGTGCACAGGTGCCTGCTCTGCCAAAGATTTTCATGAGCTGATGTGGTGTGGATCAGCACATCTGGAGGGGTGGAAAGAGTTGCAATGTGCATGTCCACTGACCTCATTTAGGGGTACTTTTTAGGTGCTGTGTATCCTGCTCTGCTCTTAGCAACTCACTGTTCATGTGGCTACACCCTTGTAATTCCTTACCTTGTGCTTTCTTTTCTCTCTGACCCCAATTATGGCCACTTCCCCCAACTTTATAAGGAGAACTTGGCATGTGGTGTGGCTACAAAGGGAGAGATTTAATACAATTTTTAGATTCTAAGAACAACTTTTCCAACAAAGGGCATCATACCCAAGACTGTTTCAGGCTGCTGGCAGTGTCAGAGGAGACTTCTGAGTGGAGGAGTCAGTCTTTTTAGAAGACACCTCAGAGTGGAGTGAGATATGTTGCTCCTGGGGAAGTCTGTATGGCTGTTGCTCGTGGATGAACAGGCCTCAAGAGAACCATGGTTTCCATTGCCTGTGACTATTGTTAGCACTACTTAAATCTGTAAATCTTGGAATGTTCTTCAATATGAGCCATTTAAAATCCTGAGTCATTTCTGTCTCTGGATATGCTTGTCTCACTGATTCCGTTTCGTGCCTGTTTTCATATCCAAGGCAGTTCATGCCAGTAGCTGAGTCAGTTTGGAAAGGATGAAGAACAGTATTAGGGCCTCTTCTGCTCTAGGTCTCCAGGCAACCAATGTTCTTGAGGTACCCAGGTCTTGTGTCTGGTCCCACCTCTGGGTATGGTCATCTCGGTGATATTCTCCAACGGAACGTCACCCTGGGGCTTTTATCCAAGTGAATGGCTGTGCCTTGGGACTCCCTCTGAGCTCTTCACTGTTCCCTTGCCAATACTCTTGTGTTCACAAGCATATAAATTGGGAACAGAAGATGTGCCTTGGAGGGAACTTCAACATAAGCAGAAATTCAGTGTGAATAAGTATGGCCAAGTGTTGCTCACAGAGCTCTTCCTTAGCTGACAATGCTTTGAGTAGGAGGTTGGGCTAGATGATGTCCTGAAACCTATTCTGATGTGAATTTTCCTATGGTCTTATGATTTGCCCCAGTTGTGGAGACCAGCAAAAAAGCTCCTCTGCTGGCAAGCACACACAGCTGTCTTCCTGAGTGATGCTTTAGATTATGGCAGGAGGAATTCAATGCAGAAACAGACTTTTAAAAATGGGAACAGCCCCACACCATGTACGAGTTGCTGTCATTCATGTATGAGCAGACTAAGGACAATTAAAATGTTAGCTGTCCACACAATATCTCAAAAATAAGGTCCTTGCAGCTCAGGCAAAGTATCTTTCAGAGACCAGAAAATAACAACTTGAAGACGTGTTTGCTGATGCTTTAAACTTGTCCTGTGAGTATTTAATCTCCATCACCTGGGGCTGGATGTGGTATTGAGGGCTGAAGAACCTTGATTACATGAGGTTTGTGGTAGCCACAAAGTTCCTGTAAGAGCCAAGTGTTGCAGTAACACTAAGGACTCTTCCTCCTTTGGTCTAAGATAGGTCAGATTTAATTGTGGGGGCACTGTGTGACTAAGCTCAGTTTTTGCTCAAGATGTTGCTCTTCAGATCATGTGAGGCTCATCTGGTCTGGCCTATGGCCCCAATCCAGCAGAGAACAGTAGAACTCTACTGGCATGTGAACCACTGCCAACAGATGTAAGTCTGGATACCTGGATTAGTAAAGATCATGATCAGATCATAGGGAGATGAAAATTTGCTTTGAAAGAGAGCCTATGTTCTCTTTCTACTGTCCAGAAAAAGGTCATGATGAATGTTCCTATCTCACCAAAGTCAGGATGGCTGTGGTCTACAGGGATAAGGCAGAACAGTGATTGCCTCTAACTTTTTCCTAGAATGAAGAACTGGGTCATTTTCTGGTATCAAAATGCAGAGAACTGACAGTTAAACTGAATTTAATCACTCCTGCATCGAGGGGCCTTCCCCTGAAGTATGTTTGCATGTTATTTTAAGTATTCAAAACAAAGAGTATTTTAGAGGAATTGTGGGGTGGTCAGTAATGCCTGCAGTTATGATTCTTCATCTCATCCCGCATTCTCAATGATGGAGGAATGGTTATGTACCTTGGAGTCATAGCTGCAGCTGAGTTTTGCAGTGCGTGTTTAACAAGGAGAGCTCTGCAGGGACAATATATTTTGAGTGCGCCTTACTGTCAGCTTTTGCCTTCCCAGCTTCACTGTCGTGTGTCTCCGCAAAACCTCCGAAGCCCAGCCAGCTCTGTCCAGCGCATTTCGCGTCGCCCTTCCTCTGGGATTCCCGCACTGCCACGCTGAATCTGTCCTTGTTTTCACTGCCTACTTCTTGCTGCGTTTTAACCTCTCTTCCTCCTCCTCCCCCCCCCTTCCCCGCATTTGTTTTCCTCCGCATGCCGTTTTACTGAGATATAAACCTCAGCAATTCCAAGTTGCGAGGCCAAACTTCCCTGCCCCGCGGGCAGACCCGGGATTCGGCCCGGCCTTGCAGCGAGGAGCCAAGTTGGCAGGAGCTGAGGCGCAGTGCACTCCGTGGGGTGCTGGCCACCCCCTCGCAGAGCACCAGCGCCTTGGGGAGCTCCCCCCTTCAACAGGTAGACGTTGGGAGCAGCCAGCCTTGCTCTGCTCATCCTCCTGCGCGGAAAGGAGGGCGGGGGGGCTGCCGCGGTGCCGGGGTTTGGCAGAAGGCCCCGGGGCATCGCCCGGGGCGGTGGCCCCAACCCGGGAGCCAGGGGGAGCGGCAGCGACCCGTCCCCCCCGTCCGCGCTGCGGGGAGGGCAGCTCCGCACAAAGCGGGTGGGTAAACCCTCCTCCGGGGCGCGGGGAGGAGGAGGAAGGCGGGGGGATGCTGCTTCCCCTCCCTCTCTCCCTCCCCCCTCCCTCCCTCCCGCCCTCCCTCGCCGCGGCCGGAGGAGCGCGCAGGCGGCGGCTGGCAGCCCGGGCCGGGCGGCACGGCGGGCTCGGGGGCGCGCAGCCCCGCGGAGCGCTGCGGAGCGGGTCCGGTCCCGTCCCGTCCCCCCCCCACGCCCCCCCCTCGCGGGGGCAGCCGGCGCGGCGGTGAGTGCGTGCGGGGCGCGGCGGTGGATCGCGTCCCTGCTCCCCCGGGGCTCCCCACTCCGCTCCGCGCCCCGCCGGGGGCTGGGGCTGGGGGTGGGGGTGGGGGGGAGGCGCGGGGAGCAGTGCAGACCCCCCGGCCGGGGATGGGGCTCCCGGGTGCTGCGCCGCCCCCCGGCTATTGTCTACGGGCCGGTGAACAATAGGGGGAGCAGCGGCCCCGCGGGGAAAGGGGGGGGGCTCTGCTTTGCTCGCATCCTCCGGGCAGGGGGGCTCGGGAGGGCGGCCGCGGGGTCGGAGCATCTTCACTCCCGCAGAAACTCCGGAGCGTGTTGCTCCAGAATAAAGCGGACGCCCGAGCCGTGCCGGGGGTTCCCCCTCGCTGAGGACCCCCCGGGGCTCCAGCTCCCCCCGCCTGTCACTGCCGGCTGGAGAGTGGGGAGAGGTGTGAGTGGCTTCGATGGAAAAACGTCTGGACGAGGACAGTACTGAGCCCCGTTCCTAGAGCCGGCCAGTGAATGCAGGGAGAATGGTGTAGTCAGGCAAAGTCAAATTTCCCCCTGAATTCTGCAGCCAGGCCTAATGGGCACTGATACTGTGTCGGGGTGAGGAGGAAAAGGGGGAGTTTTGGGGGCTGCAGTCTCTTAGGTTAGTATGGGAGGAAAAGGAAAAGAGCTCCAGATCTTTCCTCCTCCCCCCAGAGTTACTAGGACTGAGATATGGATCATTAAAAAGGAGTAGCGTAATGCAATTAAGCATTAGACAGTCCCCACTGCAACACTTATCCATTGTTCCTCGCTCTGCCTTCTGCCAGAACAATTCTCGTCTGGACAAGAGAAGTATAATTGAACAAATAGTTCATTTCCCTGGCCAATTGCATCTGTAGTCTCTCCCCTGAATCTTCTGCTGACTGGCTGCAAACACAGCAGCATCTTCTGAGAGAAATGGGGAACTGGGACCCTCTGGTGAAGACTCCCGCTGTCGTGGGCTAGCTAGCAAGAGCATTTCTGAGTGTCTGCTCACCCGAGTTGTTCTGACAGCAGCAGCAGAGCGGGTTTGCTCCCTCATTTCTTGGTCCTCTTAGCTTCCATGTGCGGAGTGTGAAGAAGAAAAATAACAGGTGGTGAGGCAGGTCCAGCCTACAACTAGAAGATGCTATGTGTGGTTCAGGCAAGTCCTCTCCTGTAGTCTGTCTCTTAACTTTCTCTTAACCCTGGTGGATAAAGGATTTCAGGTGGGTTTGAGGTGATGCTGCCTTGGTGGAGTTTGTCAGCCTGCCCTTCAGCCTGTGCCCATGGTGGCTGGGTGCCCTGCAGCGCAGACGCACACACATGCACAGAGGCAGGAGAGCATGAGCCCAACACTCTTGTTCTTTTCTGAGAGCTGTGAGCAGCTGGAAGGGTTGTGGCTACACCTGGGCCCCTTGGTACAGGCTTGGCTGGAAGCTGCGTCCTTTCCCCTGGAACCTCCTCCCGGTTCGCAGCACGCAGCCGAGCTCGGTGCCTGGGGATGCACAGATGCATTGTCTGCACTGCTGTGAGACATGCTCAGCACTGGGAGGCTGCTGCTTTTCCTCAATTCTGGAGCTTCTTACAACAAGTCTGCATCATGCAGCTTTCCTCCTTCTGTTCTTTCTCCTTCCCTCTTTGTCTGTAGACTGCTGCCTGTCTCACTTCACTCTTAGCTTTCCCTTTGTCTTTTCCTGCTTAATCCATTCTTTCACCTCAGTTTCTTTTCTCTAAGTAGACCTTGTCCTCTTCAGCCTGCTTCTCTCAACATTGGAGAAGCAGCCCAACCCCTCATCTCAGTAGGAGTATTCCTGCCAACTGTTTACAAAAAGTAGCACAATACCCAGGCTGAACACTGACATAATTACATACTCAGCCAGCGAGTGTAGTAAATAATCCTGCCTTTCAAGCTTTTGCCCAGTGGTGAGTCTTTTGCCATCTCCTTTGCCCATGGGCTAAGTGTATTATACTTGGCTTGCATTTACTTATATTCTGGAAACACTAAGTCAGCGCAGTCAGTGCACAGACATACAGTATCAAAGTGGATGTACGCTGATGTCTTGCGCCAGATACACTTACTGTGCCTGTACGCGTTGTGTGTCTGAATGTGCATCATAGGGCTCTGCTCCTAGGTTCAGGCTTTGACAGTCATGCTTGGCAAGTGCAAGGGCTGTCATGGAAGGAACAATTGGATATTGTTCCATAGGTGAAGGAAAGATGGCTGTGGGGTGAAGGTCAAGAGTGCCAGCAAAAAGTGCAGAGCTTGGCTAGCCGTGTTTGCATTGGTTAGGGTGCTAGCCAGTTTTCCAAGGATTTGTATGTACATATGATTGCAGACTGTGAGTACTGTCAGCACGGTTGTAGTTCCAGTTGTGCTTGTGAGCCTGAGTCTGCAGTTGCTTTGATTGTGAGTCAGTCTGTCTGCAGTTGCAGTAGCTGTGAATCAGTGTCTGCCTGTAATTATGTGGGTGAATCAGTGTTGGCTTGTTGCACTTTGAGTGCAAACGGTTTCCCATAGTGGTTGTGGGTGTGAATCACTCTACAGTCCCTCTGGATGTGTTTTTGAGTAGAGAGATGCAATACTGGGATTAATTTTGTTTTGATGAGGAAAAACTGTCAAGCGGTTTCTTGTTTTGAAAAATTAAAGCTGGGTTGGGAGTTGGGCACAGAGCTTGTTTCTCCGTTACAAACATTCTACAGAAGAAACCCGCTTTAAGGCTTGCTCCCAAGATTTCCATGTTGATCTTAACCTTTAATTTCTTTGTCTTGTGCCTCTGGTTCTGAGTGTCCACTTCTGCTGGCATCTCTTGCAGAACTGTAGACAACACCTTTGGTAACCATCACGTGTGCCTCATACCTTATGTGCGTGGCAGATTCATGGGAAGGTTGTTTATGGCTTGTGCAGTGTGTGTGTTTGTGGGGACAAGCCAATGTGTGCCTCTCAGGTAGGTAAGCACAAAAATTTTAATGCTTGTGAGTCAAAGACTGTGTGGTTCCTCTGCCATGTTCCTCATGCTGTGAGCCGGTGCTGTTTCTCTAAGTAGATGGTAAACAGCAAGTTTGATTCAGGTAGGTGGAGGTACTGCTGCCTGTTTCTTGTTCTCCAGTTTCTATAAAATGCTGTAGTAGCTTCTGGCCTTCAGCACCATCTAAACAAAAGCAGCACTAAACTGAGAAGCAAGTCGGAGAAATCTGGGCTATTGCAGAAGATGGAAGCAGAGCATTCCTTTCAGTCCGAGTTAACAAACTGAGCCTTTCCCTGCGCTGGCTGGTGCAGGTAGAGTGCAATGCTGGCAGGGCTGGACTGCTTCCAGTACGCGCTGGCTTGGGTGTCTCTGCCTGCCTTGTGCAGTGTATGCATGCATCCCAGTTAGCTCCGTTCAGAACAAAGGGATGCGAACAACCAGTAGGACAAGGGTCTCGTGGAACACCATGGTATCTTATTCCACCATTTCCAGGCTTCCAGATGAACCGTGTCTGCTAATTGCTGCCCTTGTCCTCAAATCAAAATGTAATTTTATTCCAAGAGACCCTCCTTTTTAGCTAAAGTGGTTGAGAACTGAAGCAAAACCTCCCCAACAGGGACACAGGACAGCATGTGCATCACCTGCATGTATTGCTGCTGCTGCTGCTGCCCTGAGCACTTGCTGGCTCCCTGTCTCTGCAGACAGAGCTTGGAGCTTTACCTGAAGAAGTGCTAGAAAAGGCATAGCAGTGATCACCACAAGGCTGGTGTGATCACCACGAGGCTGGTGTGCTCACAGAGGACTGGGGATGGTTGAGCAGAGAACAGCCTGTGCAGTTTGGATGATTTTGGAATCCTTGAGAGGTGTTGGAGGACCTCTCCTGATGCCTGGGACCTGTTTTGCAGAGACTCCAGTGCAAGGAGGAAGGTCTTTCAGGAGCTTCTTGTGCTGTGCAAGTGCACCTGACTGCAGGATAAATATGCAGGTGTTGTGAGGTCACCTATAGTGATGTGCTTGGCTGTGCTACTGTGCAGGTGTGGTGGATGTGCTTGGCACCCACCGGGTCTACATCACCCTCTTCTCCCCGCATGGAAGTGTTTGTATCTGGGCTTTTGGACTTAAGGCTGCCTTGACTTCCCAGTCTGTTTTCCAGCTGGCTTCCCAGCACCAGCTCCTCATTGCACACTCCTCCCTGAGATACCTGATGTGGCAAAGATGAGGAGCAGCTGCAGGTCCTGGGGGCTGTGGGCTGAGTGGGAGCTGTAGGTGCTCAGCACCCCTTCTGCTGATGCCACTGGTGTAGGTGCATGGTGTGTGGGCGTGCTGACCTAATGACACTGCAGTCACACAGTATCTCTGGGTGCAGTGATGGGGCAAATATGTCCTTCAGGCTGCTTCATTAATGTCTCCTGCATGATGAGACTACGGCTAAGAGAATCAGACTGTTCCCTTGGCTGTGCATGCTCCAAGGAGGCAGTAATTTGGGAGAGATGCTGATATGACTATCACAAATGTATCCAGGTGGGTTTATGGGTCTCTTCTGTCTTTCCTTTCTGATGCTTGCAGTCTTCCCCTCTCTGGACTGTTCTCTCAGATTTATTTTTTTGCAAGCTTTACCTTTCCATCTCCACCTCCGGAGCTCTATCTGTCTTTCCTTTGTCAGCAGTAAGCCTGTGCTAATCACTCTTTCCTAAGAAGGCATTTCAGAATATTTAATGGCTTCTAGAATAAGGATTTCTGAAAAGATCAGGCTCGGTATGCGAAGTCAAGAGATACCTAATGTTAACATAGTTACTAGGGTGCCTTGCTGATCTGGAAGGTACCATCAGTTTTTTGGTTCCCAAACCCACCTCAGTAGGAGCAGGGACTGAAGCATGTTGCTATCTCAGGGAGAAGGAAGCTTTTCCAATTCCTTGTTTCAAAATTGCACATCCAACAGGAAGGCTGTATGCCTCAGGAGTGTTTTTATGCTGTGATGCTCTGGAGATTGGACAGACTGTGTGTGTTGGAGAGGAGTTGGTATGTTTATGATGCCTTTAGGTATGTGATTATAAAGAGACCTGCCAAAATCCAGAGTGCACAGAACTGTAAACTTTAAGTATTGCTGGATTCCAGCTGCAAAGTGTTAGCAGGGCTCCTTAGAAAATCTGCATTTGATTCAGCTGTGGAGGTTACCAGCAACTGCAGAATTAGTGATGAATGCATTTGCTAACTGTGCCATTAAGAAGTGAGCAATGGACAGATGGAGGAAGGAAGTGCAGAGCGGCTTTGAACACATACCATTCCTATAGGCTCCATCTTGCATAGCCACAGATGAGAACCAAAAGCTACAGGGTGATGTTCTTTAGCTTATGCGAAAGAGGAATCACTTTAAGGAGTCGTACCACTGTTCTGAGCTTAGGAACCTTTGTATTCTGCTTTTTTTCTTCATGGATACTATGCAGTTTCATTTCAGCGAGACCTAGTGAGAGATTTTGTGTTTTCTTCTTATTTGAGACTATTGCCATTCAATTAACATCCCTAAACCCTCACTCAGTTTCATGCAGTTAAACGCATGTTTTCTGCATCCTCCCTCCCTGCAGGTATTCAGATCAAGATGTTGACTCTTTCAGAGCCTTCATGAGTGGGAAGTGACAGCTGAATAGCGTTTTGTTTAAGCACCTTCTGCACGGACAGCACCAGTTTGGGCTGGAGGACCCCCAGTGTTACGTTTCCTGAGGCACACTCACGGGTGTTTCCATTCCTTTCCTCTGCTTGAGATGGTTTTGTGCCCCAAGGGACAACCCTTCCCACCCGCTCTGCCTTGAGCAATAACTGCTCCGGGGCAGGCAGTCCTCTCCAAGAGTCACTCTTTTGTGCTAAACTCTAAGGAGCTCAGTTACCAAGCTGTTGAAACTAGGACTGGTTTTACAAACCTGCCAGGCCAGAAGCACTTTCACCAACTGAGATTCTGTGTGTCTCTGTGGTTGGTGCTGGGCCTGGACTAGCAAGAGCCCCAGGGAAGGGGAGAGGTGATTCTGAGAGCTGTTGTGCCATGGGGACCACACTGGGCTCTGGCTATGGGCAGATCCCTTAAACTGTATGAAGGGTGAAAACTCCTCTGCAAAAGACCCCTTGCATCCTCGAGAGACATGTTTCCTGCTCAGTAACAGGGTGATGAGCACCAGTGATGGAAGGGGGTTGTTCCTTCTGCTGTTCCCCCTGGCACTGACTGCCCAGCCCTGGCTCAATGTCACAAGGCTCCCAGAATTCATCACCAATGGTTAAAGCCCCTGTGTTAATTGGGAACATCAGCCACAATCCTCAGGACCAGGTCTGCTTCTCAACACATCTCTTCAGTGTAAAGGAGCCAAGGAACAAAGAAAATGCTGTGCAGACTCTTCTATCCATCTCCTCAGGAAAAATACAATACAGGAACCAAAGGAAAGGGGTAGAAAACAGTGCCAAGCTATTTTCCATGCTGAGTTGTCCTTCCTGAGTCTGTAAGTGCAGCCATAGCAAACCAGCCATCCATGTACTCTGACACCCCATTTTGGGGGCATTCTCTGTGTCAGCAAACTGTGCCATGGCTGGCAAAGTAATCACTTAGGCAAGTAGTAAAAACAGATTTTTCTCCCAATGCAGGTATATGGAACTGGTTCTGATGCTTAAAATGAGACTTAAGCATGTATTTAACTTTACTCAAGGAGCCCTGTTATCCTTGGCTAGCACCTTCCTCAACAGAACTGTCCAAAGTAGAAAATGAGCCCTTAATCTCTGTATTGAATCTAATATTGAAGGAAAACTGTAAGAACAAGGCTTGGTGGAAATGTGGTTTTGTATAGCTTCTTGGCACAGTCAGGCATGTCTTATACATACCTACATGGTAGGTGTAAGTGCTTCTGGCTTTTGTCACTGTTCCTGACCCTATCTCTTTCTGAATTACCTTGCTGCCCAATTTTCTGGTCCTCTTCTTTAGCTGCTCTGTCCCACCTTTGGTGCATAATCTCTGCAGGCCATGGTCTTACTAAATCTAATAAAGATGGTCAGAAATGTTCTAGAGGAGTCAGAACAGTTCCTGCAGAGGCAGGAGGCACCTGCTGCAAAAACAGTGTCCTCGTTTGTGTGGATATCCCTGGTCAAAAACTGCTGGCAGTGCAAATTCTGCCAAAACAAACTATTTATTGAAATCAGCAGTTGAATGGAAAAACGTTGATTTCAATGAAATTTTTCAATGGTGGTGTGGGGAGGGGAGAGGGAAGCCAGCAACATTTTTTTTTCCTTTTTGGCTAGTGTTTGAAATTGCCTTAGGAAAAAAAATCAATTAAATCCTATTGTATAATTTGCAAGTTTAAGTGAAATGAAAAGGAAAAGTTGAAAGGAAATCTGTTGAGGAGCTGCTAATTGAAGGAGTTTTGAATTTGCCTTGTAAGAAACACCATTTTAGCTGTCCTTGTTTTGATTTGGAACGAGTCTCCCCTAACTGTTGGAATTTCCCACAGAACAGATGTTCAGCCTCTTAATTTGTGCTTCATCAGCAAATACTTGAATTTCCAAGACTGTGTGTCCCTTCTCAGCTGGAGGGTGGCAGGAGCCAGAGGAGCCATCCCAAATCAGGGCTTGTCTCACCGGAGGGGTAGGTGTGCCCTTGCCAGAAGGCTCCTGCAGCCTCTGTTAAGTGTGTGCTCCTTTGGTGTGAAGGCTGAGTTTCCCTTGGTAGCATCCTGATTAAATAAGGCCCAAGCACACTAGCAAACGCTCATGTGCACAAAATTAATCCATCCACTGATATTTGCAAGGATTTTGAGTGAGTGAACTCAAAAGAGTTCAAGACAGAAGTAATATGTCTGAAATATGCTCTATGCAATGCAATGCAATGCAATGCTAGGGCCCAACACTTCTTCCCCCCCTCCCCGGGACTGCCATTAGTGAATATCTTGCCGAAACAAAAGCTGAAGTGGGTGGGTAAGGACTTGTAGTGTCTGGCTCTTAACTTCTGCCTGTGTGGCAGCTCATGTCCTCCTAGAGCTGTACTGAGCTAAAAAGCAGGGATCAGGCACAGCGCCCAGGAAGATTTTAGGGCCAAAATGTTGTGGGGTGACCAGGGGTAGCTAAATGCAGAATTGTGGCATAACACGGAACGGAGCCTGGCCTTCTGCCCCTTCTCCTCTTCAGTCATCTGTGGCAGGGGTAGCCAGATACACATCACTGCACATAAATGATACACATGATCTCCAGGTGTTTCTGTTCTGCTTGGCTGAGCTCCCTGCTCTCTCTTCATGGGATTTCCATCTCCAATGTCTGTGAGCAGAAACTCCTGCTTCTTGGTAGCACTTGCATAGCTCCCCTGCCCCCCTTCACCCTGGGGCACCATCCACCAGCTGAGAAATGCCATTCAAGTGGTGGGCTTTGGCTTTCCAGCCAGCATCTCCTTCAGCACTGGAAGGAGCTGCCTGAGGCTCTGCAACGTTGGTTGCCTATTGAGTGGGGGAAATCCAGAGGTCAGATTTGGCTGGCAACAGCATATTGCCATGGTTTCTGCAGGCTGTGATTGAAGTGAACCTTCATTTACAGCTTTGAGGGCTCATACTGGCTGGTTGTGCCTGGCTGCCACAGTGCTGAGCCTCTGCTGGGCTAAATCCTGTGTGTACCAGGCATGAGGTGTTGTGCTGGGGAGACGTCACGACAAGCTGTATTTATACAGGCTGTTGCTTGGCAGTGCTGTTCCAAGGTGCATCAACATAATGAGATACATAAAAGGGGAAGGCAGTTAAATGTGCAATAACATCACAATAAAAGTAAAACTGAGCATTAATGAAAAATCTGAGCACACTAAGTGCAATACAGTCGAACACTCCCACTGCCTTGGGCCTCGGTGCCCAAACTTAATAATAATTCCTGGCAGTGTCATTACCAGAATTAAATGAGGGCCTAACTGTCCAGTAAAAGATGTATGGAAAAAATGGGTCTTGAGACTTTGCAAGTGGTTCTCCTGTGTGGGTGTCCCCGAGGCAGCACAGGTAGCAGGGATCTGGGACTGCTGCAAGGGGAGGGTGGTGACTGAGAGGGTGGGGTGAGGAGGGAGAGGTGATGGGTGGAAGAGGAACCAGTGAGGTCATTTTGGAAGATGGAGCTATGCACTTACTGCCAGGTGCTGAAGTACCTGGGGAGCTGCTGGATGTGCTGGATGGGGTGAGGGTTTGCATGTGTACGTACATACTTACCTCTGACCCCATGCTGAGACTTCCCGGGGGCCAGCAGTGCTGCAGGGGATGCTGCTCCCTTTGGTCACTGGGGGGGGGTCTCTGGAATTTCAAATACAGGACCCCAGAAATACTGACAGCTGGCTAACATGGATGAACTGCTGGGAAAACTGAACTAAGCAGATTGCTTTCTTCCTAGTAAATAAAATCTCTTTTCTCTTCTCTCCTTCCCCTCTGTGCCCACCCTGGCAGGTTTTGGAGGCTTGCTTGCCAGTCGCCACGTGCTGATGCCATGGCGCTGAGGCTCCCAGGAACGGGATCACTCTCTCTTGTTAGCCTTGGAGTCCTAGTCCTGGTTGTGGCTCTCCCTGCTGATGCCGGGTAAGGTGGTGAGTGCTGAGGCTGTTGGCCAAGGCTGCAGTCCTCTTGCTGTGCTTAAGTATCTCGGGGCCAGTACCTGTGTGAAGTAGTCTGGGGCAAAGCACTAAAAAGTGTCTCTGCTGTGTTTGACCCTCCCCTTGTCCATGTCCCTATGCCTTTCACTGGGGACTGTTCAGTCCCTCGTGGCTGAGCTGACTGATTACATTAGCATTATTTGAGGTGCTCTCACTAAGACAGTTGTCAGCATTTTTTGCCACAAAACCACTTTTCAGATTTGGCCTCTGCACAATTCACTCTGGACAAGGACTTGGCTTGGATAAGTTTTTAACGTGGAAGAGAGACTCTCCCCCCTCTTCAATTTGTTAATACTCTCTTAAGGAAAAGAAAATGCAACTGCTTCAGCTGTTTTACTGTTTATGGTATAACAACCCACAAGCAGCACACCTGATCTGCTGCAGCAAGGGGCAGGAGGCTCTGGCCAGCCCTGGCTGGGCATGCTGCTTGCCCTCTGCCTGGGTTGGTGTCCCTGGGTATGCAAGCTCCAGCTGTCCCGGCACAGAGTGCAATGCCAGCAGCCTTGCCTTCCCAGTCTCTGGGAGCTGTCAGGAGAAGATGAAAGCCTGTTAGTCTGTGACAGGCTCTGCAGCCCTTCTCTGCGTCCCATCAGAGCCTCTGCTGAGTCTTGGTGACCTCGGAGAGCCCTTCACGGACGGGAGGCAGAGACCCCCCCAGCACAGCCTGCCAGCTGCAGGGAGGGAGAAGCTCTGTGCAGAGGGAGAGAAATGCAAATAATACATGGCTTCTATAAAAAATTTAGAAAAGCCTTTAGAGTGCCAGGTATGGACACTGAAATGCTGTCTGCTGAGTTACAAGTCCAGCAGCAATCAAGGACTTGGAAGCATGAAAAAATGTCAGTGCTGCCACTCCTACTTCACTCACACACCCCTCTGTGCGCAGCCGTTTGCCCAGCTGCACGCTCCTACGCCGTCCTGTCCGTGCTGCTTCACCTGCTTGGATCTAACTTTGTATAAGCAAATGCATCCCGAGCATGCCTTGACATGCAGACACTGACCCTCGTATCGGTGTACGGCTGCCTGCTCCTGCCTGCCTGCATAGGCACGGGCAGCCCCGGCCACCGGCCTCTTGCTTTCCCCTCCAGCCTGCTGGGGCCGGGTCCCCATCCCCATGCCGGCTGCAGGGGGGTGTCAGCAGCCCCTGTGCCTGCAGCCCTGCCTCTGCCTTCCCCACCCCTGCCAGTTTGTTTCCCATCACGTATTTGCTGCTGCTGCTCCCTCGCTGTCTGCCACACAGCTATCGCTCTGGTCCGCGGGAGGATTTGTTTCCTAAATTGCATGCGAGGGGACCCTTGTTTGGAGGTTAGCGTGCCGATGTGGCAGCCAGCTCTCCAGAGACTATGTGCACAGGGACAGGTGGCGAGGTAATGACTTTTCCTCAAGCCTATCCTAATTAAATTTGCTGTAAACCTCTGTCTTCCCTGCCTAAAGGCTTTAATTATTTTAAAACCATGATACCTCTTTGCAGTTCCTTAGAGTTCTTCACTAGGGCTTTGAGAGAAATAAATGAGACCTGTTTTTACACTTTGCTAAAGGGCAGCTTTAGCTTTACGTTAAGGTTAGATGAGCCAGCCCAGACCTCAGCTGGACTGGGGAATTAGCCCAAATCAGGTTCCAGGCAGAAGTGCTGCTGGCTCTCCCCTGCCTGCACTTTTCTCTCGCCCTGCCTGCACCACTCTTTCCCTGGTGCCTCTTGAGTGAATCCCACGCTGCTCACACTGAAGTCGAAACCTCAAATGTCAGGCTGAGTAAAACGGCTTTGAAATTTGTAAACTAATTTTTCCCATCACCGCTGAGCCTCCGCCAGCAGTTCCTTCACAAAAGTCTGTCCTCTTGCTCTTTATATTATGGGTAATTTTTAAAGATAGCTTATAAAACATTAATGAATGAGCTTTCATGAGCATGCTAGCTATTCATAAGTTATAGATGGTTATATACCCATCAGCAGACACTGGTACATATTGCTTTTAACCATGACATCTATTGAAAGCTGGTACAATTGAAACCTCACTAATTACACTAGGCATTTGTTAAATTCCTCAAAATTCTACTTACCTGCAGGGAGTTCAGCTGTTTCAAATATTTCAAGTCCAGATGAAAAGCCAGAACCAGTGTTTTGATTTAAATGGGAAGTCTTGAAGGCTGTGATGCAGTTTGTAGTACCAGCTTGATGTTTTGGATCTGACAGGTTGCATTAGGGCTGGCACGAGTGTTTTCCCAACCATGCCTCACCCCTCATACCCTACGGGAACTGCAGTTTAAGCACTTCATTACCCTTGTTGGGCACTTGTAGGCTGAGCTTCCTGGCTTGACCCCTTCTCCCATGATAGCAGGTATTGGTTTGCTAAAAAACAGAGGCCAAGCAGCATTATGAGAGGTGGGATGCAATCCCTGGAGAAGCAAACCTCAAGCACTTGAAATGCAATTTCCCTGAGTGTGTTTGGTCATTGATGCCGACACAAATTAATGTCAAAATTGCCCAAAATGGAATATTTCAATTAGCTGCAGCACGCTGAATAGTATTGATTTAGCCTGACTCTAAAAATACCCATATCCTGCTTTCAGTTTTTTCTCTTTTGCTAGAAAATAGTTTTTCCTCTTTTTTTATCTTACAGAAGCTGGGTTTTCTGTTGTGAGAACATTTTTCATAGAAAACTCCAAGCCAGCTCTGCTACTTGTCACCTTACTGACCCTTCACAGGGTATTTACGAATGGGCCAGTAGTGTCAGTAGTAACTAGTCTAACCAGATGAGATGCATCAGGATTAAGCTCTGAACTCCTTAAATGATATTCCTCTTTCTGTTTTTCTTCCCCAATTACTTCTTGATGCACACTTAAACCAGTAGCTGCACACATCAACTGGAGCAAGAGAAAATGAGGCTGGGGAGGAGAAGGAAAGGGGCAAAAGTGTTAGAAAGCAACAATTTAGGGGCTTCTCTTCCCCCAGCTGTGGGGAGTGGGACCCTGCTTTGGAGGGTCACAGGTGCCCTCCATGGTAATTGCACCCATGTCTTGCACCACCAGTGTCTCTCCAGTTTGCAGTATTTGTGGTCTTTGTCAGGGCAGTGATCCCCAGTCGCTTATCTCCGGTGAGTGGCACGGGGCTGCCCCGCTCCCGAGGGGCTCCTGGTGCCGCTCCTGAGGATCCCTCTGCTCCATCAGCCTTTCCTCCCCCTGCCTGGCTGGGCTTCCTCAGCCATCCCACTGCCTGTCTGTGCCTCTTAATCTTTTTTTGGCCTCATTGGTGTCTCTTTTATTTCCTCTTCCATCTTCCTTGCAATCTCTGCATCTATAGATTTTTCTTTTGGTTTTCTGTTACTTAATCTTCTGCCTTTCCATTTGTTTTGGTTCTAACAGCTATTTCTGCTGGGGAAGGCTGTGCTTGGAGCCACAGCACCGATACTCTGTGTTGTCTGAAATCTCTTTTAGAGACAGCCAGTTTCAGAAGGATCCACAGGCTCCTTTTCTGTTGATTGAAAGGGAGACGCAAAATGCAAATTTGAGCCCCTTGGGCTTGCAAAACTGCATTGAAGATTTTGCTTGGTGAGATGAGCTTTGTTCGAGAAATTTACTACTTATTTTATTCCACCTGGGGCAGAAAATACCCTGAGGAAATCATCTTATTTGGGGGCTTCCAGGCTTCTTGCACTGAGCAGAGATAGGAACATGAAAACTCATTTGGTTTTATAAACAGCAAAAGTTCAACAAACCGCAGAAATGGTTCATGAAGAGTTTTAATGATGGACTCAGGCTTCAAGCCTGCTTTACTGAATTCCTGCTTTTCTGCCTCCCTTCCTTCTTCCCAGGAGCAGAGAACCTGGACATGGCTTGATATGGTAAATAACTGACATCACTTCTTCCATGCTGCCTATAAGGAGGTACTGGCGCTTGAGTAACTGAGGTTCCCACAGCCTCTGTTCATAAAATGTCCTTTCTTAGTGTCAGGAGAGGGATGCTGGGCAGGGGAAGGCTCCCTAAAAAAAACCCAGGGCTTCTAAACTGCTACCCATGGTTCTGCTGGCCCTGAGCACGGAGAGGTGGGGAGGGCGCAGCAGGGATGCCTCAGCTTCCACAGAGAGGGCTGTGGTGGCAGAGCTCAGAGGGGAGTTGATTCAAGATGCCCTGTGGGGAGTGGGGCAAGCACATCACGTATCCACAGGCGTGCCCCATCCTGCAGTTCAGGGCCCACAGCAGCACAGGCCGAAGCGTCAGCCAACGTCCCTTCATTTCCAGTAACTGTTCAGAGCATGTAAAGAGTAGGTTTCTCTTGTGATGTTTTTTCCTCTCTTTTCCCTCATGTGCCAGGCTTTCTCAGAAGCATGTTTCAGATGTCGTGGATGACAGCAAAGATAACATCACCATTTTCACCCGCATCCTGGACAGGCTGTTGGATGGATACGACAACCGCCTGAGACCGGGACTTGGAGGTCAGTTGGGTGGAGAGATGATATTTTCCACAGCTGTGTAGCTTTGGAAATGAGAGGCTGCACAGATGACTTTTTAATAAGTCTGGTACTGTCAAAAGGAGAGACTGGTTCAGTGCCAGAGTCAGCCTGTTGCTGGCTTCCCCATTTTGAGTCTGTGATATCTCGTTGTTTGATATTTGGTGAGATGAGAGGTGCAAGTCTTTGTCTGCTGTGGTCTTCTATGACAATACATTGATAGGCCTGTAGATGGAGCAAGTATGATTAAATTTATTTCTGCTACTTTTGTAGGCATTACTATTTCAGAAATTATGATACTACCAGTTTGCAAGACCTTCAACTTGTGTTGGCCTTGCTTTTTAGTCAGTGAGCATTGCTGCAGAACCTCTATCTCAACATCTTCTCTGTTATTTCCTATGTAGCTGTCACCTGGCAAGCTCTTCTCTGTGTGCTGGTCTGGGCACCAGGCAGTCAGCCAAGATGTGCTGGCTCCTGAGCTGCTTTTAACACAGCTGCCATTGTAGCTACTGCTGCTGAGTTTCTCTCCAAGCACCTACAGATGTTTAAGGTGCTTTAGAAAGCAAAACCATGGTAGTCACCTTCCCTCCTAATGCCTATGGCGTACTTTTAGCTTGATGTAAGGAGGCAGAAGCAATGAGGAGATGTGTAGGGAAGGCAGACGTGAGCGTTCTTGGTGAGATGAGGGAGATGCGGGCTTCTGTGGTTTCTTGGTGTGCTGTTGCCAAGGGGCATTGCTGTGGCAGAGAAGATGACCCCTCCCAGGTGCCAGTGACTATGTGCCATGGGGGCTGCTGAGGTGATGTCCCTGCACCGCTCTGAGCTCTCCTGCTCGGCTGCAAAGATGTGCTGCTGGACCACGATTCCCACCCAAACCTGGAGTCACTGTGTGCTCCCCCATTCCCCTGAAGGTCTCGCTGCCAAGAAAGGTTGGGAATGAGCTTTCCTGAGCTCTTGAATGCTTATGGAGCTCCAGCGACATAGTGCTAGCCTGGAATTGCACCCTCAGTTCCTCAAAGCAGCTTCATTGTCTCTTCCCAGCCCCATGTCCACCTCTGTGCCGTGGCCCTCTGCCCTGCCCCTGTCCAGGAGTACTTTGATCCCAGGCAGAGACCATGCAAAATTTGAGGAAGAATGGTTTCTCCAGTAAGCATCCTCACTTCTGATGGGCTGCCATGCTGCAGGACCCAGACAGGAGAGGGTTACTGTGTCTGCACAAGCCATTCATCAGTTTTATTGCTTTTGTTGCTTGTTTCTTTCCCCTAGAATTAACTGGCCCCACTAATAGCTTTGCTTCCTCAAGTCTCCCCGATGGCTGTATTGATTTAACTGAAATGAGTTCTGAAAGGGGACTGAGGGGGCATTTATGTTCACTGTAGGCTCAGTTGCAGACAACCCCATGCAAAGTATTAGCAAGAGGACTCCCAGGAGCCCCTTACTGGGGAAGCTAAAACCTTTCTTGGAACATCTCTGCTCTGTTGCTTTAGATCCTTTAATAACATACTTAACATAATAAATTGCCTTTGCCTGTACCAGACTTGCATGTTTAAAGACTGCTTTCACCTCTGATTTCTCCTCTTGAGCACTCTTGTGGACCCAGATGGGAGGTTATGACAAGGTCTACAGGTTTTGGAGGCTCTTGACTGGCAATGAGTTGTCCTCAGTGGTGTGTGTGTGTATAGGACAGCGTGGTGAACCGGGCGATCCTTACTTTTAGCTAGATCTGTTTTCCCCAAGTCTGGGCTTTTAGTCCTTGAAGGCCGGTCAGGGCCGCTATCGGGAAGAGCATTAGAGAGAAAGACCTTTCCCACTGCTGCTGGTGGCCAGAGAAGCAGAAATCGTCGTGCTACAGACTCCAGACTTCAGGGTTAATCAAATAGCCTGGGGTGATAGTCAACAAGAGATGGGCTCCTGCTGTCCAAAGTTATGTGAGATCTGTGAAAAGAATTGCATTCCTTCAAATTACCAGCTGTGCTGCTGAGTGATTCAGCGACTTACAAGGTACATTTGTTTTCCTGTGAGACAGCACTGGGCCGTCCCTGTAAACCCTGCACTGGGTCTCCTATTTCCCTTGGGAATATCTTCCACTTGCTTTTCTGAAGTCGCCAGGTGAGAGCATCCATTAGCACCATAGTCCTGCTTTGGTGTCTGTGGAAAGGGCAGACATGGTGGTGGTGTGCCCACGCACAGGCTAATGGAAAGATGGACTGGCCTAAATTGTGGGTAACCGGGAAGCAGGACACACAGGCTCCCTTCCTGGCCTTGGTTTCCCTGCTCTGTATGAGATGGCTCCCCCTGAGAACACTGGGTTGGGATACGAAGGGCTGAGTGGGGTGCCAGGGCTGCAGCACCTCTCAGGGCTGCACGGTGCTGCGTGTGCCCAGGTGTCTATCCCCCACGTTTGGCAGAGCTGTTTCCTTGTGTGCCGGGAACCGAGCAATGTTTGTTTAAGCTTTGAGAAAAGAGACTGTGTAAGCAACAGAGTGTTGATGTGGCGACTTCTCCCCTCAAGATAGCCTCTTTGTATTTATTTTCTTATCCCCTCTGTTTTCACCATCTGCTGCCACCCACTCTAATAGCTCCCATGCCAGAGCTCCTCTTCCTACCAGGATGCTGCAGACACAAACTGAAGCAAACCAGTGCTGCGAGGCTCGGGACTGCCTGGCGCTGCAGAGCCAGGCTCCAGGCGAGGGTGGTCCTGTGCCTTGCTGCTGCTCCTGTCCCCAGGAGGTGGCTCAGGACATCCTCTCCAGCAGTCTTGATGGCACATAGAGGTTTGTGAGCGTACTCCAGGCTATCTTAGGAGGGGAAAGGTGGGGGGGAAGGTGGCTGTCAGACCCTTCCTTCTGCAGGAACACCCTGTAGCACTGAGGACATGACCACTGGTGTCACAGAGAAGTCTCCCGTGACTTGTAGGAGGTTTCTTCCTTTCTCTGCCAGGTGAGCTGGGGCTGGCTTGCTCTTCAGGACAGAGCTGAGTCTTTTGTTTGGCCCCATGACCACTGAAATACAGTCTGGGCTTGGGGAAGGGGTAGCTGCATAAACAGATCATGTTATAAGACTCAGAGTGGGGGAGGAGAAAAAGGAACTGTCAGCAGATAACCTGTGTTTCCCCTGGGAAAACACAGGGCAGATTGGTTATTAAGTCAGAAGAGGACCCCAAGGGGATGGAGACATCTGTTGTCATGGCCAACCGTGTAGGAAAAGAAAATCTCCCACTGAGAGAGTTTCTATGGACAGTACTGGCCTCCTCTCCTGGTTTGGAGCTCTGCAATCACACAGATCCTCTGCGCAGCCCTGTGGGGGATGTGGTGAGGGGCATCTATTTATAGCTCTAAAATTCCCTTTGCTGGGGCTTCCTGCAGAGCTGGCACACAGAGAGGCATCAGCTTTGAACCTGGAGCTTGCCTTGATTGCAAGGTAAGAGAGAGGAGACATGGCCAGGAGAAAGAGGGAGAACTGGCTGACAAAGGGAGAGACATCATATACCCAAAAAGAAGAGATGCTTAAGGAGTGGGATGTGAGCAATGGGAACATGAGCAATCCTCCAAGAATGAGTGATGCACAAAAATACCTGTGTATCTTTGTGCTGCTTACTGTGAAGTGTGATTGAAGTTCTGCAATCCTTACATGGCCAGTGTGATGCCCAGCACAGTTACCATGAGAAGGGATGTGGTGGTCAGGTTATTTGAGGTTCAGTGGTGGTCCCTGTGCAACTGTACCTCCTGCAGCCTCATTTCTGAACTGATGAAGTTTGGGTCCATTGTGCTGCAACTGAAACACAGCCATCTTGTGAATGCTTGGGAAGGGGCAGGAGGGGAAGTTTCCAAATTTGCCTCAGCCTTTTCCTTCCTTACAGCCTTGAGAATCATTTTAATACTTTGGCAATACAAAGCTATTGCGGGGCACCTTACTGCTCAGGGAGGAGGCCCATGGGGCCCTTCTGTAGCTGTTTGCAAAACAGAGTAGGGATTTCTTGCAGCTCAGCCAGAGGCTGTCTGCTTCGCGGGGCCAGGAGTGTGTCCAGGGTGCTATTTGGTGTAAGGAGGGCATCTGGAGTAATGGTAGTCAGTCGATAGCGGGTGACTGGGGGAAGCCTGTGCTCCAGAAAACTGTTGGCCTTTTCCTGGGGATACAAAGGAGGAAAGGATTTTGCCCCAAGGAAGAGGAGGAGAGGGTAGGCTGTTCAGTTTTCTAAAAGATGGGCTGTAAGCTCTCTAGATAAGCCATTTTCTCCAATTGCAATTAAAAAGTAATTTGTACCATGCTAAGCATCTAGGCTAGGATCAATCGTTGTCAGTCCTCCTGGCTGCAGCATTGCTTACAAGGTAACTCACGGTATTTCCTTGAAGCTTCTACCACGTGTCTCTGGAGACCCTAAATATCTGCCTCGGCCCTGCTGAGGGAGCAGTGCCTGGAGAACATCCTGACAGTCTGTGTCTGTACAATGTGCTTCTGGACAGTTGAGGGTTAGGAGCCTACTGAAGTTTTCAGAGCATGGGGTTCACTGGGACTAGCAAACATAAGCAATTGGATTAAAGCAATGCAATTCCCTAGGCGGAACAAGGCACTTGGCCCTTTTGATTTCTTCTTCCTTGGGGACAGGACATGGCGCCCATTCCTTGTCCTCAGGGTTGGCAGCAAGTGGGTCCCATCCAGGCAGAGGGGAAGCCCCAGTTTATACCTTCACAAGTGGATATATCCGGAGAGTAGAAGCAACCCAAGCTTGTGGCTGCCTCCTCATCTCCAATAGATTGCTTTTTGAGGCTTGGTGTCAGCATTTCCCTGCCCACCCTGGGTTCAGCACAGATGCCCTTGGGCTCGAGCAGGTTTTGGTGCAGTCAGGCTCCGCTACTCACAATAGGACTCAAATCAGGGATGCCCGACATAGGCTTATGGTGCCTTTTATCTGGCCTTACTATGGCAGCTCTGCCCTGCTAATGGGTTTGATCTGTAGCCACCTGTTAATATGACATGTGAAGTGT